CTATTTTTGTTTCATCAGACCAGAGGACATTTCTCCAAAAAGTACGATCTTTGTCCCCATGTGCAGTTGCAAACCGTAGTCTGGCTTTTTTATGGCGGTTTTGGAGCAGTGGCTTCTTCCTTGCTGAGCGGCCTTTCAGGTTATGTCGATATAGGACTGGTTTTACTGTGGATATAGATACTTTTGTAGCTGTTTCCTCCAGCATCTTCACAAGGTCCTTTGCTGTTGTTCTGGTATTGATTTGCACTTTTCGCACCAAAGTACGTTCATCTCTAGGAGACAGAACGCATCACCTTCCTGAGCGGTATGGCGGCTGCGTGGTCCCATGGTGTTTATAACTTGTGTACTATTGTTTGTACAGATGAACGTGGTACCTTCAGGCATTTGAAAATTGCTCCCAAGGATGAACCAGACTTGTGGAGGTCTACAATTTATTTTCTGAGGTCTTGGCTGATTTCTTTTGATTTTCCCATGATGTCAAGCAAAGAGGCACTCAGTTTAAAGGTAGGCCTTGAAATACATTCACAGGTACACCTCCAATTGACTCAAATTATGTCAATTAGCCTATCAGAAGCTTCTAAAGCCATGACATCATTTTCTGGAATTTTCCAAGCTGTTTAAAGGCACAGTCAACTTAATGTATGTAAACTTCTGACCCACTGGAATTGTGATACAGTGAATTAAAAGTGAAATAATCTGTCTGTAAACAATTGTTGGAAAAATGACTTGTGTCATGCACAAAGTAGATGTCCTAACCGACTTGCCAAAACTATAGTTTGTTAAAAAGAAATGTGTGGAGTGGTTGACAAACAAGTTTTAATGACTCCAACCTGAGTGTGTGTAAACTTCCGACTTCAACTGTATATCAGATCACATTACATTCATAATCCCATTTGTAACAATAAAATGTGAAGAAGTCCAAAGGGGTATGAATACTTTTGCAAGGCACTGTAGTTTCAGTGCCAATGAGGAGTTTTCAAGTACTTTCTGAATTCCTGTTCAGAAGAGTGCAGAGAAAGTTGACAATGATAACAATTGTTTATTTCACATAAGGAAACATGCACAGCTGAGGAAAATGCTTCCTGAGAATATACTTTCTCATATCTCAAGAAATTATACTTAAGTGTACTCTCAAAAAAGTATATTTAACTTAAATGTCCACAAAATATATTTAAAGTGTACTTTCAGAAACTCAAAAAAGATTTTTTTTGCAGGTTTTCATCAAGGATCTCTCTGTACTTTGCTCCGTTCATCTTTCCCTCGATCCTGACTAGTCTCCCAGTCCCTGCCGCTGAAAAACATCCCCACAGCATGATGCTGCCACCACCATGCTTCACCGTAGGGATGGGGCCAGGTTTCCTCCAGAGGTGACACTCGGCATTCAGGCCAAAGAGTTCAATCTTGGTTTCATCAGACCAGAGAATCTTGTTTCTCATGGTCTGAGTCCTTTAGGTGCCTTTTGGCAATCTCCAAGCGGGTTGTCATGTGCCTTTTACTGAGGAGTGGCTTCCGTCTGGCCACTCTACCATAAAGGCCTGATTGGTGGAGTGCTGCAGAGATGGTTGTCCTTCTGGAAGTTTCTCACAGAGGAAATCTGGAGCTCTGTCAGAGTGACCTTCGGCTTCTTGGTCACCTCCCTGACCAAGATCCTTCTCCCCTGATTGCTCAGTTTGGCCGGGCGGACAGCATTAGGAAGAGTCTTGGTGGTTCCAAACTTCTTCCATTCAAGAATGATGGAGGCCACTGTGTTCTACGGGACCTTCAATGCTGCAGATATGTTTTGGTACCCTTCCACAGATTTGTGCCTTGACACAATCCTGTCTCGGAGCTGTACGGACAATTCCTTCGACCACATGGCTTGGTTTTTGCTCTGACATGTACTGTGATCGGTGGGACCTTATATAGACAGGTGTGTATCTTTCCAAATCATCTCCAATCAGTTTAATTTACCACAGGTGGACTCCAATCAAGTTGTAGAAACATCTCAAGGATGATCAATGGAAACAGGAAGCACCGGAGCTAAATTTCAAGTCTCATAGCAAAGGGTCTGAATACTTATGTAAATAAGGTATTTCTGTTTTACATTTTTAATACATTTGCTAAAATTTCGAAAAGCTGTTTTCACTTTGTCATTATGGGGTATTGTGTGCAGATTGAGGAAAAAAACTAATTTAATCAATTTTAGAATAAGGCTGTAATGTAACAAAATGTGGAAAAAGTCAAGGGGTCTGAATACTTTCTAAAGGCATTATTGCTCATCTTTATCAAGGATGTCAATAATTTCAGACCCCACTGTATATATATATTTTTAATGTGTTTCGTTAGGCTGAAAATGTCTGTCAACAGCCAGTGATTTGTTGAGAGTTCTGTTAATTTAAATGCCATTTAGAATAAATACACTTTTATCCAAAGCAACTTTCATCAGTGAGTGCATAGTTAATTTTGTTTTTTACACATTTTGGATTAATTTCCTAGTTCTTTTGCTCAAATTTCGAGTCATGCTTGAGCTAGATAAGAGACAAAAAAAGCTCCATTGTGACAGCGTCTGTGTGGCCTAATGGCAGTATTATCTGTGGATCCTATGTACAACTCATGACTGGGCTATGTACAACTCATGACTGGGCTATGTACAACTCATGACTGGGCAGAAGGGTAACGCTATGTAACAGCCACCAGATGGTGCCTTCTATCAAGTCATACATCCACAGATGGAGCCAGTTCCATAGGCCTCTTTTACTCATCTAACCAGTATCTGGCCAACTGGTAATAAGCATGTGTGTTCATTGTCATCCTCCAGATGTTAACTGGCTCCGGAGTATTTAGTCAACAGTACATGTGATCATCTCTGCAAATTCCATGATGACAACCATGTTTGATTTATAATCTAATCTATATCAGATCACATTCATAATCCCATCTTCCATTGATTTCAAACATTTTGGAATTATATATTCTTACTGTGTGTATGATGCTGAAGTGGATTCATGGTTGGCCTTTTCTATATGAATCTCTACTCAACAGATCAGTTCTCATATTTACAATCCCATCATATACAACTGATCAGGGTTGGGGTTCAATTCCATTTCAATTCTAGTCAATTAAAAAACCAAACTCCAATTAAAATGTAAAATGTTCCTCATTGAAAAGCATTGAAGGGAATTTTTATTTTAGTGTACCTCCTGAATTGACTAATTTAAAATGGAATTGACCCCAACCCTGCCACAGATATCAAAACATCTCAGTGGATGTTTATTTCTGTTCATATATTGATGATGGAAAAAAACATAACTATCGATTGAAAAACATTCTATACAGAGACATGTGAAGTGGCCTTTCACTGGTCTGTAACTGAGCCTTGCTGTCTGAGGGGGGGGTTGTGAATCATAAAAAATAGCCTAATTCACAGCACAAACAAGCATACAAACATATTTTAAGAAACAATGCCCCACTGCTTAACCCCTTCCCTCTAAATTCTGATGGATTATCACCAATCTTTCTGGGTCCCTGTGGATATTTGCTTATCATAATACACTGTCTTTCCCCCTGCCCACTCTAATTTCAACAGTCCCAGAACCAACATCCACACCAAGTAACTGTGTCCAGAAAGAATGTCCCTTTGTAGTCCAGTGACATTCAACAGACATTTTAATAAGGCATTGGTCTGTTCTTCTCGTGCAATTTTTATCCAATACAAAATAAACATATGAAGATGATTGGGTGGCTTCTTCTATATCTTCCTGCTTCCCAGCGCCTCTCTGTTTTCAATAAACCCCTACATGTTCTTACCTAACAACAGGATCTCAAGCTGAGGTTTTCAGAATGGCTTGAGACCATATTGAAAGGTAACTACATGGATTTATGATTGATTCCAGTGTACCAGTCACTAGAGAGCTCTCTATGCTTAGCCAGATAATAAAGGAGGTTCATATTGTACATAGAGGAGCTTTTAGAGACCCGGGAAGAGTGTCTCAGGTGGAACAGCTCACACGCTCCTCTCTCTCCCAACCTCGTCCACAACGCTCACAGCCAGTCAGTTGATTTAACACACCTCACATATCCTGCCCAATGTTCCACACTAAATAAAAACCTCTCCCTCCTCTGGCTACCTTTTAACTGTAGCATATCACTGCCTGTTCCAGTTTTCTCTACTGTAGTTTTGTGATGGGTTGTCCCCCTCACCAACTTACTGTTAACTACTTTCTAATGTCTGGTAGAAAACACAATCTGAAATCTGTCTGGGTTTAGCAGTTAACCATTACATCAAAGTCAGTGCACAGCGGCACAATACAAAGAACACAGGAAAAAGGGCACATTTTTCTTGTAAATGTGAATCAATATAGCAGGTATTTACAATAGGATTACCTACACTAGATCGATTCCAGGAAACAGTCTAGGGAAATGTCTTTAGAGTAACAAATGTTTTATTGGTATTTTTTAACAAATCATTCCACTGATGACAGAACATAACAATTGGTGTTTAACAAGGGTATACGTTCACACATTTTCAGCATCACAACCTAAAATGACAAGGCTATTTCATCTGGTGTTGAAAAGATCGATATGCCTGTTTAGAAGAAGCAGGAGGTTGACTCCACAATGACAGCGCGAGAGAGAGAGAGAAAGAGAAACTGTAAACACACTCACCCACCCTCACAGATGCCCAACTCTCAGATGGTCTTGTTAACAGAGTTTCTGCCTCATATCCTTTCATTACACAAACATCATCATGGTTTCAGGGTAAACAATAAACATAAGGTACATTCAAACATCTGATGTATAATATCTATAGTCATTTTTAAAACGTTCTTTCCCTTTTCTCAAAATACAATATATTATCTTTATCCCAGGTCATGTTTAAAAAGTTGCAAAGATGTCTATATACATATGGAGGCAGGACATCAAATCACATACAAATTATAAATAAAGAATCAAATGATAAAAAACCCATTAACTAATATTGGAAAAGCAGGTGGCAAGCCTACATGCTTTAACTTTAGTCTTCAGCTCTTCTTTGACACCATGGCAACAGGCTGGAGTTCAGCAAAGATGGAAGCAGCAAAACAACCTTTTAAAAAACACATGGCGGAGAACTTCACGTCACATAATCTGCTTCCAGCTATATGAGGTTCTGAAAGTAAACAAACACACAACACAATCAGTGATGGGGCTGGTGCCAAAAACTAATCCTGACACTGTAATTTAGCCAAGGCTTAGCCACACAAATATGAGTATTCCATTTATGGTTGAGCTCTTATAAATCTACTGACCCCCATATTTGCCTACATCTAAGCCATTGTCAAAACATTAGTTTGACATGTACATCATCTACCCTGTGCAACATACTATAGATGGAAACACTGCAGTCTTGATTTGGAATTAATATTACCAACATGTTGGATAAACCAGACCAGATTAGTAGAACAATTAAAGCAGCGGAGAGCCAGGTATGTCTTGGGCCACTGGGTCTCTTGGCTCTCTGTGCCACACCAATCAACACTGATTAAGACCCAAAGTTGTCTTGGATCATCACCAAATCATTGCCTTACATTAACCCACTACAGTACTAGACTTTAGGAGGACAACAACCAACACTGATAACTATAGGACTAACATCATGTCTCTACTGAGCCAGTCCTGCTGTCCTTCACACTGGACTCACCTCGTCCCTACTCCGGGCAGCTCCAGGCTCTCGCTGTCCAGTTGAAACCCGCGAGGAGGCCCCTCCACCAAGGGAACCGTAGCCTGACATCTGGCCCCGGGGCAGAAAGCTGGATGGGCAGTACGGGATTACCCCCTCATCTGCAGATGACAATATGCAATACTGCAATCACTCAAAAGTGCAGCTGGAATTATATGGTTCAGAATCTAAGTGCTGGACCAGACTCCCCACCATCTCTGTCCACCTGGGTAGAGGGGATTGCTGCTAGATATGTGTGCTTAAACCGATGCGTTATATTAAGACCACGGAGGATTTGTATGTGTATGAATGTAGACGGAGCATTACTAGACCTCAATCACAATATGTGTGTGGTTGTGGCTTTTATATTACTGTACTGTGTGTATTTGCATACAGTGGGGGAAAAAAATTATTTAGTCAGCCACCAATTGTGCAAGTTCTCCCACTTAAAAAGATGAGAGGCCTGTAATTTTCATCCTAGGTACACGTCAACTATGACAGACAAAATGAGAAAAAATAATCCAGAAAATCACATTGTAGGATTTTTAATGAATATATTTGCAAATTATGGTGGAAAATAAGTATTTGGTCAATAACAAAAGTTTCTCAATACTTTGTTATATACCCTTTGTTGGCAATGACACAGGTCAAACGTTTTCTGTAAGTCTTCACAAGGTTTTCACACACTGTTGCTGGTATTTTGGCCCATTCCTCCATGCAGATCTCCTCTAGAGCAGTGATGTTTTGGGGCTGTTGCTGGGCAACACAGACTTTCAACTCCCTCCAAAGATGTTCTATGGGGTTGAGATCTGGAGACTGGCTAGGCCACTCCAGGACCTTGAAATGTTTCTTACGAAGCCACTCCTTCGTTGCCCGGGCGGTGTGTTTGGGATCATTGTCATGCTGAAAGACCCAGCCACGTTTCATCTTCAATGCCCTTGCTGATGGAAGGAGGTTTTCACTCAAAATCTCACGATACATGGCCCCATTCATTCATTCTTTCCTTTACACGGATCAGTCGTCCTGGTCCCTTTGCAGAAAAACAGCCCCAAAGCATGATGTTTCCACTCCCATGCTTCACAGTAGGTATGGTGTTCTTTGGATGCAACTCAGCATTCTTTGTCCTCCAAACACGACGAGTTGAGTTTTTACCAAAAAGTTATATTTTGGTTTCATCTGACCATATGACATTCTCCCAATCCTCTTCTGGATCATCCAAATGCACTCTAGCAAACTTCAGACGGGCCTGGACATGTACTGGCTTAAGCAGTGGGACACGTCTGGCACTGCAGGATTTGAGTCCCTGGCAGCGTAGTGTGTTACTGATGGTAGGCTTTGTTACTTTGGTCCCAGCTCTCTGCAGGTCATTCACTAGGTCCCCCCGTGTGGTTCTGGGATTTTTGCTTGTGATCATTTTGACCCCACGGGGTGAGATCTTGTGTGGAGCCCCAGATCGAGGGAGATTATCAGTGGTCTTGTATGTCTTCCATTTCCTAATAATTGCTCCCACAGTTGATTTCTTCAAACCAAGCTGCTTACCTATTGCAGATTCAGTCTTCCCAGCCTGGTGCAGGTCTACAATTTTGTTTCTGGTGTCCTTTGACAGCTCTTTGGTCTTGGCCATAGTGGAGTTTGGAGTGTGACTGTTTGAGGTTGTGGACAGGTGTCTTTTATACTGATAACAAGTTCAAACAGGTGCCATTAATACAGGTAACGAGTGGAGGACAGAGGAGCCTCTTAAAGAAGAAATTACAGGTCTGTGAGAGCCAGAAATCTTGCTTGTTTGTAGGTGACCAAATACTTATTTTCCACCATAATTTGCAAATAAATTCATAAAAAATCCAAGAATGTGATTTTCTGTCATAGTTGACGTGTACCTATGATGAAAATTACAGGCCTCTCTCATCTTTTTAAGTGGGAGAACTTGCACAATTGGTGGCTGACTAAATACTTTTTTTCCCCACTGTATTTGCATTAATTAGATGGTTTGATGCATACCCTGTGAGCCCCACATGGCAGGCCCCCTCTTCTGGGGTGAGGAGTAGTCGCCTCTCCTCTGCAGAGCCGGCGAGTTGTCCGCCGACGGTGTCCGGCTGCAGCCCAGCACATCAGCCAGGAGCTGCAGGGGGTTGTCTGCTGCAGGGGGTGGGGCTGGTGGAGGGGGCAGGTCTACACAGACTGATTGACAGCTCATGATAAAAAAACACTGCCTTCACTTAACCACACAGGTGGCCTCTTTAAAGCACTGCTGTCTATCTATTCACAGTTGGATGTACACTATAGGACTTTAATGATTCGTAATGGATAAGACTGTCTGCTACATGACCAAAATGTAAATATACTGTACTGTAAGGATGTGGCTTGAATCCCATGGCGGGCATGTTACTTATGTGCATTTAAAAACCTCCTCTAGCAAAATTCCAAGAAGTTAGAGCCATTTCTAAGTTCTTGCAAATAATAAGCTGGGGTAACTTGTTATTCCAAAAGCTATGTGTGTTGCCTTGTATAAAAGCCTCTCCAAAGAGAAAATATGATATGAAGATAACATAAAAGTAGCCCACTGTCCACTATGTCTTACCTGCTTGGTCATGCAGCTCTCGTCGGTGCTGGCCCTCCTGGAGGCCTTTCTTCTTGCTCCTGGTTCTGTGCCCCTGCATAGCGTGGGCAGACTCAGCCAGGAAAGGAGGAGATTGTCCTGACAGAAAAGAACAGGATAATTATGCAATTATGGATTAGCCTGGTAGCAGATCTGTCTGTGCTTTAGCCAACTCCTCTAGTCCAGTTTGTTGTCATGCCAAACATGGACTGTATGTATGGCATGGCAACACATGACAAAGGAAGTGGCTAAAGCACATACAGTTCTGTGACCAGGCTGGTCATTTTCAAAAGGCTAGCTAAACATATAAATAATTATCCTATGCATTAGAACTATGAGAGAGGGACAGGTTTGTACAACTAACCTCTGCCACTCCTCTCTGAAGTAAAGTTCTCCCCCATGAAGGTGTCTCCCCATTGGTTGGTGTGGTATGGCCCGCTGACATCGTAGGCGCCCTTATTGGCGAACAGATTGGGGTTGGAATGGGAGACCTGGGAACCGGGCCCGTAGCAGGCCAGCAGGTCAAAGTGCTGCAGCGGGGGGCGTGTCTCCTCCTGGGGGGACGGGGGAAGCGTGGCTGTGGACTGCAGGCTGGAGATGGTGCCTTGGGTCAGCTCCTCTCTTCTGGAGGAGGGAAGGCTGGGTAACTCCTCCCTGGAGCCGTCCATCAGGTAGGTCCTGGCTGGCAGCGGGGGACACCAGTCCTCCTCATCCTCATCTGAGCTACTGGGAGCAGGAGGAAGAGAAAACATGATTAGTACAGGAGGGAAAAGTGAGAAAATACCCTCTTAGTTGTTAAACCAGGGATCTGACACTGAGTGAAAAACACTGTCAGTAAGACCCCAGTATACAGTGAGGGAAAAAAGTATTTGATTCCCTGCTGATTTTGTACGTTTGCCCACTGACAAAGACATGATCAGTCTATAATTTTAATGGTAGGTTTATTTGAACAGTGAGAGACAGAATAACAAAACAAAAATCCAGAAAAACGCATGTCAAAAATGTTATAAATTGATTTGCATTTTAAATGAGGGAAATAAGTATTTGACCCCCTCTCAAGCAGAAAGATTTCTGGCTCCCAGGTGTATTTTATACAGGTAACAAGCTGAGATTAGGAGCACACTCTTAAAGGGAGTGCTCCTAATCTCAGCTTGTTACCTGTATAAAAGACACCTGTCCACAGAAGCAATCAATCAATCAGATTCCAAACTCTCCACCATGGCCAAGACCAAAGAGCTCTCCAAGGATGTCAGGGACAAGATTGTAGACCTACACAAGGCTGGAATGGGCTACAAGACCATCGCCAAGCAGCTTGGTGAGAAGGTGACAACAGTTGGTGCGATTATTCGCAAATGGAAGAAACACAAAAGAACTGTCAATCTCCCTCGGCCTGGGGCTCCATGCAAGATCTCACCTCGTAGAGTTGCAATGATCATGAGAACGGTGAGGAATCAGCCCAGAACTACACGGGAGGATCTTGTCAATGATCTCAAGGCAGCTGGGACCATAGTCACCAAGAAAACAATTGGTAACACACTACACCGTGAAGGACTGAACTGACAGAATAACAACAACAAAAATCCAGAAAAATGCATGTAAAAAATGTTATAAATTGATTTGCATTTTAATGAGGGAAATAAGTATTTGACCCCTCTGCAAAACATGACTTAGTACTTGGTGGCAAAACCCTTGTTGGCAATCACAGAGGTCAGACGTTTCTTGTAGTTGGCCACCAGGTTTGCACACATCTCAGGAAGGATTTTGTCCCACTCCTCTTTGCAGATCTTCTCCAAGTCATTAAGGTTTCGAGGCTGACGTTTGGCAACTCGAACCTTCAGCTCCCTCCACAGATTTTCTATGGGATTAAGGTCTGGAGACTGGCTAGGCCACTCCAGGACCTTAATGTGCCTCTTCTTGAGCCACTCCTTTGTTGCCTTGGCCGTGTGTTTTGGGTCATTGTCATGCTGGAATACCCATCCACGACCCATTTTCAATGCCCTGGCTGAGGGAAGGAGGTTCTCACCCAAGATTTGACGGTACATGGTCCCGTCCATCGTCCCTTTGATGCGGTGAAGTTGTCCTGTCCCCTTAACAGAAAAACACCCCCAAAGCATAATGTTTCCACCTCCATGTTTGATGGTGGGGATGGTGTTCTTGGGGTCATAGGCAGCATTCCTCCTCCTCCAAACACGGCGAGTTGAGTTGATGCCAAAGAGCTCCATTTTGGTCTCATCTGACCACAACACTTTCACCCAGTTCTCCTCTGAATCATTCAGATGTTCATTGGCAAACTTCAGACGGGCCTGTATATGTGCTTTCTTGAGCAGGGGGACCTTGCGGGCGCTGCAGGATTTCAGTCCTTCACGGCGTAGTGTGTTACCAATTGTTTTCTTGGTGACTATGGTCCCAGCTGCCTTGAGATCATTGACAAGATCCTCTCGTGTAGTTCTAGGCTGATTCCTCACCGTTCTCATGATCATTGCAACTCCACGAGGTGACATCTTGCATGGAGCCCCAGGCCGAGGGAGATTGGGAGAAACACAAAATAACTGTCATTTGCGAATAATCGCACCAACTGTTGTCACCTTCTCACCAAGCTGCTTGGCGATGGTCTTGTAGCCCATTCCAGCCTTGTGTAGGTCTACAATCTTGTCCCTGACATCCTTGGAGAGCTCTTTGGTCTTGGCCATGGTGGAGAGTTTGGAATCTGATTGATTGATTGATTGCTTCTGTGGACAGGTGTATTTTATACAGGTAACAAGCTGAGATTAGGAGCACTCCCTTTAAGAGTGTGCTCCTAATCTCAGCTCGTTACCTGTATAAAAGACACCTGGGAGCCAGAAATCTTTCTGATTGAGAGGGGGTCAAATACTTATTTCCCTCATTAAAATGCAAATCAATTTATAACATTTTTGACATGCATTTTTCTGAATTTCTTTGTTGTTATTCTGTCTCTCACTGTTCAAATAAACCTACCATTAAAATTATAGACTGATCATAATATAATAATATAATAATATACCATTTAGCAGACGCTTTTATCCAAAGCGACTTACAGTCATGCGTGCATAATTTTTTTGTGTATGGGTGGTCCCGGGGCTCGAACCCACTACCTTGGCGTTACAAGCGCCGTGCTCTACCAGCTGAGCTACAGAGGACCACGGTCTTGTCAGTGGGCAAACGTACAAAATCAGCAGGGGATCAAATACTTTTTTCCCTCACTGTACATCTATGGGGTCTATCTTACACAATACTTGCACTTCATCATCAAGAAAACTCTTTGAGGCACATTAACAACCATATCCAGAGACAGTAACAGTAGTTGACAGAGTTACATTTTAAAAGAGGAACCAGCAGCAATGGATTACAAAACACAAGAGTGACTTCAAATGATTTATGTTGCCGTGACAACGTCAGAAGACATCAGAGCAGATTTAATATAGGACATGTTATTGAAACAGGAAAGTGCTAATCCACACTGTCAGACAGTGGCTAATGTCATTACAAAAGACAATGTACAGTCAGAGCAGCTAGGTCCCCCCAGTTATGGCCACAATCTCATCTGTCACAATCAGTTAGAGGAAACTGTACACTCCCCTGATGCAGCCACACTAAGAGTCTCTCCTGAGCCTCCAGACAATGATGTTTAACTCCAACTTTAACCGTAGTAAACATCACTAGAGTTTACAATCTGGTTTGAATCGGAGGACAGGTTCAGGCCCTAACCTCATGAACTCTTGCTATGTAGTTCAGGTAAACTATCAGGTAAAATAGAGTGCAAGCCATACATTCAATCTAAACATAGCCCTCATATGAGGGCTTCAGAGAATAGATAAAAAGGACACATCAGGAAAATCACAATGAGTTATGGAGAAAAGGTGCAATATATAGCAACTTCAGCACTCTTAGTTTTCCTTCCCTGTACTGCCATTTCACTCCATACACTGTTAGTTCCCTCATCTGTACTTAACAAGCTATCCCATGGGAGGGTGTCTACAGGGGATATAGCGCTGGGTGTTACCTGTTCCTCCCCTCATCCCTGTCTCTCTTGGTGTAACCCCGTTCTTTATTAGCAGGCAGTGGTAGAGACAGCACGTCCTCCCATTTGAGTGGTGCAGGCTTGGATGAAGGACACATGGACCTCTGCTTCACCAGCTTGGCTACAGTACAGAGAGACAGCAGACAACCCACACACTTATTTAAATCAAGCTGAGGAGAACATTAGAAATGAGCTATGTGAAACATATTTATGTACATGTTTTTGTACAGCATACAAACACCCACATCAACTATGTAACAGAGTTAGCTATATCCTCACCACCTAACATTCCATGAGCCCTTAACTACAGTACATGAGAAGTGTAATAGCTGCCTGTACCATTGCTTGTCCTGGCGTACTGCAGCTTGGCGTACTCTACAGACTGTCCAGACTGGATGGTCCACTGGTCCAGGTCCTGCTCCAGACCGAAGAGGCCCGAGTTGGAGAGGACGGGGGTAATGGCGTTGGGGTCAGGGCCCTGTGTGTAGGGGGTGTTGGAGCCCTGTGTGTAGGGGGTGTTGGAGCCCTGGGTGTAGGGGGTGTTGGAGCCCTGGGTGTAGGGGGTGTTGGAGCCCTGGGTGTAGGGGGTGTTGGAGCCCTGGCTGCAGGGGGTGTTGGAGCCCTGGCTGCAGGGGGTGTTGGAGCCCTGGCTGCAGGGGGTGTTGGAGTATGTGCTGTAGTAGGCTAGACCCTGCAGGTCCTCAGCAGCAGCTGTACAGATGGTGCTGTAGATGGGACTGTCGGTGGACACTGAGCTGTACTTCTCAGACTGGCTCAGGTAATTGGAGATGCCAACTGCGGGACAGAAATAGAAAGTCTATAAAAAATGTAAAGTGGAACCCATTTCCTTGAATGAACCACTTGATCTTCCCTCTGCAATTTCCTGGTCAATCACAAAAGTTCAAATAGGTTCCATCATTTGAGCAGCATTGGCGGCTTATTACTATTAATTTTGCTTCTGTTCAAACGACTGCATTTTATCCCATCCCAAGTTGCAAGACATGACTGTGGGCTCTCACCATTGTAGTATCTGTCTGTAGAGTCCAGTTTGCCAGAGCAACAGTTGACTGAGTCTTTTCCATTGTGGGCAAGGCCAGGGGCTGGCCAGGAGTCTGCTAGCCAGGGGTAGTTCCCCATGTTGGAGCCCAGCATCCCTGGTCTACTGTAGGCAGATGGAGAGAACTAAAGGTCAGATATTACTGTAAGTTTGTAATAAAAAGAGTCCACTCATGTTTACATTGATTTCTCTGAATAAAAATCAAGATCTCTACCTTCCGTTGCTGAGACCAGATCCTTCACTGTGAGCGAATCCAACTGCACGAAAAACAACAAAAGCAATGGCTGCAATTAAAAATCTTTCTTACTCAAGGCAGTGGAGGCTGCTGATGGGAGGACGGCTCATAATAATGGCTGGAACGAACTCTTGGAATGGCATCAAACACATGGCAACCATTCCACTGATTCCGCTCCAGCTATTACCACGAGCCCATTCTCCCCAATTAAGGTGCCTCTAACCTCCTGTGTCTCAAGGGCCCAAAACAGTGTGTCCCACTTGGGATTCAGGCCTGCCAGTTTATTTTTGTCATTTCATTAAGGCTATGCTGCTGAGCTAGATACACTAAAAGGCATAGATCACATCAACACTAGGATTTTTAACCCACAGATTACAACAAGTCACATTTGAAGACACTCAGATACCCAGATTTGGCAAACGTGATGGTGGCAGGATTGGAACAGATTAGTATTGTAATATTAATGGATTTGTGTGTATGCTATGTGAATAGGTTGGGGTTGAGGTTAAGGATGTTACAGTATACCTGCAGGTGTGTAGGCAAATGAGGTGGTGTAGTGTCCCAGCTCCTTCCTCCTGCGGTGGCGACAGTACAGCCAACCACTGAAGCCCATGAGCACCAGCCACGAGGCCACGCCCAACCCAGCGATGAATGCTGGTTGGCTGACCACTCCAGTGATCTGCTCTGATAGACTGAGGCTGCTGTCTTTCTGCAGAGGGTCTGAAGGCATGTCCAGTGACAGGGCTGAATGATAGAGAGTCCAGTTTATCAGTCTGGCAAATTCATTTCCAATATGGCTTCCTGAATAAACAGACAACTAACTAACCCCATTGGCTTTCTAGCAAGAATTGTTGAAATGCAGTATTCCTCAAGCCTCGTCTTTAGTCTTTAGTAATCTACCATACTGACTGAGGACCAGGTTGACAGGCTATTAATGTTGCATCTAAGGAAGGGTCTCTTCTAGTGGTAAAGCTGACTCACTGAGGACCAGGTCTATAGGTGGGCTGTGTTGACCCACTCCCAAGATGGTGACTGCAGCCACCATCACACTGTACTGGAGGTCTGGTAGCAGCCCAGTCAGTAGGATGGACAACACTGCTCTATCCACTGTCCTGTTGATATGGCTCTCTGTCTTCATCTCAGAGTCACTCCCCAGGCACCAGACCTGGCAGACAGAGAAACAAGCTTGATACTGTGTGGTGGAGGGACAGAAACTCTGGAGGGACAGAAACTCTGGAGGGACAGAAACTCTGGAGGGACAGAAAGGGACAGAAACTCTGGAGGGACAGAAAGGGACAGAAACTCTGGAGGAACAGAAACGACCTACAACATTTAATAACACTAGAAGCATCAAGTCGATCATGTTGCCAAGAGGATGGGACAACTGAACCAGAAGTGGAGATATTTTGTTGTTGTCAGCCAGCAAGACATGGGGATACGATAGGCTTTAAAATGCCTTTCCAGAAAAGTCTGAGAAAATAAGTGGTTTTTTTGTCAACTGCAAAGCTAAACCAAGAGGAGATCCAATCGACAAGATGAGGAAAAGTGATTTAAATCTGAGGACTAAATGGTTAAATTGTGTTTTTGCATTCTACAGAAGTGTTGCTGTTAACTGATACTAAGCAGGGAGCAATGTGCAATGTTTAATTAAAACCACTAGCACAGCATTTCTGCTCTGCACAGCATGTTTTGGCAACAAGGATAAAACCGACTGCTTAAAATCAGCACATTGATGATTCAAACAAATAATTTATTTTCTCTTTCGCACGACCAGCTGTAGTGACTAATTAACTGCCCACTTTTCACTAAATTAACATCAGACAGAGTAGTCTAGAGTAGCACTTTCCTCTAGCCAGGTACAGCTTCAACAGTCTCCACTCTGTAATCTCACCTTGTACTCCAAGACTGTACCACTCTGAACGTCAGCGGGGGGAGGCTCCCAGGAGACACTGATGCTGGAGCTGTTGCTGAGCTGGACCACTGACACAGCCTGCGGGGGAGCACTCAACACTGGAAGGATGTGAACATGGACAACTGTTAGTTAGCGAGACCCAGACGATTAAAAAGAGACTTTGGTCAATAAAATAGATTTTCCTATACGCATGTCCTGTGGAGTCCTACAGTAGCATATCACAGCATTGATTAGTAATTTTAGAAGCAAAAAAATCTTTACTAAATTCTAAGGAAAGTCGGAGGAAAATTGATTGTTACGGCCCTTGCAGCGACAATAAAGATGTAGTGAACTATGCCTACGGACTTCACAGAGAGGGACCCTCCTGCATCCCGCTGCGTGCCTTACCCTCCTCAGGGGTGCGTAGCTGCACCAGGGGGCTGTCCAGTCCCTGCAGCTCGTTGAAGTAGGGGCGGACCTTCACCTCGTACTCTGTGTCCGTGCGCAGGTCTGATAGGACAGTGCTGAGCTCAGGCCCCCCTTTCACATCCTGGACCATCCAGGCGCTGCCAGTGGAGCGGTACAGCAGCCTGTATCCCTGCACGTACTGAGACTGACGCGCCACCTGACCAATGACAGAACACAGGGGGCGGGACAGAGGTGGTTTATGATCTATTTCCTGAGATATTATAAAGTATGAAGCACAGTATAAAGTAGCGTATTGTTTCTACAGGTTATAACACTCTGTTTTACTCACAGTCCAGGAGACCTGGGCACTGGTGGGTGATATGACCACAGGCTTCTGCAGGTAGAGAGACACCTCCCCTAGTTCTCTCTGCACCTGTCTGCGGTCCATCCCCTGCTCTGTAGGACTCCCATCTACGACAACACAGAGAGAACTGCACTCAGAACAGCCTGACATACCACCCTGCGCTGAGAACAGCCTGACGTCATACCACACTGCACTCAGAACAGCCTAACATCACAGAACACTTTACTACGAAACAGTTCAAGTGATTAAGTGAGTATACACATATTATATGCTGTTCTGTGTCCATACTGACCCTGTGTCCTGATGGGTTCAGAGATTGGGCTGGGGTCACTCAGACCGTAGGAGTTGACCGCTCGGACGATGAACAGGTAGACAGTGTTTGGGTACAGGCCGATGACCGTGTGCTTCTCCTGTTTCACGTGGTCAGCTACCGTCTGCCACACACTGCCAACGGATTGGCTGGAAAAGAACGTTAATCAATTACAGGTTGAATTGTGGGAGGATTGTCTGGCCTTGTCCTTCTCCTGATATGAGAAATAACACAACAATGAGTGTGGTTTGACAATTTGGGTCCTCTAGCATAGATGAATGCTGGGTAAATGAATGCCATTATCTCAGTCCAGTGAGGACCTATAGTACATATTACCTAGCCTATGGTATGGTTTGTCCAGTCAATTACCCAGTGAGTGATAAAAGAGACCAGTCTAAATGCGTCAGCATGCTTCAGTTCGGCTGGCGCCTAGCCGTACTCGGCTAGCCAAACCAAACGAGTGTGCTCGCATACTCCCTTAAAATACCTTCACTTGAAAAACAAGAAAAAAGCGGCAATAGTACTGTTTGTCCATTTTGAGACGCCGTAGCCAGTATACACTTCCTCAAAATAGTCAGAATGAATCTAAGATAACTCCAGAAATCTGTCATTAATTTTGACGATTCTGCAGAGGATATCTTAGTTGCGCAATTTTACCTCTAACTAAGATGTTTGGTGCAGTATTTCTCAATGACAAAATGTGCATGAAAACGAGTCGTCTCTGGTTGAATGACAACAAACACTTCATTGAAGAATCCCTACTGTTGACCAATCACTGATGAAGGGGCGTAAATGTCGGCTCCGAACTTCGGCTTGCCTCAAGAAAAAAAATGTGTGTGCCCGAACAGCCAAAAAAAAGTCCAAAACAAACAAAAACTTTACAAAATGTTGTCATAATATACAGTCGTGGTCAAAAGTTTTGAGAATGACACAAATACTAATTTTCACAAAGTCTGCTGCCTCAGTTTTGATGATGGCAATTTGCATATACTCCAGAATGTCATGAAGAGTGATCAGATGAATTGCAATTAATTGCAAAGTCCCTCTTTGCCATGAAAATTAACTTAATCCCCCCCAAAAAATTTCCACTGCATTTCAGCCCTGCCACAAAAGGACCAGCTGCCATCATGTCAGTGATTCTCTCGTTAACACAGGTGCGAGTGTTGACGAGGACAAGGCTGGAGATCACTCTGTCATTCTGATTGAGTTAGAATAACAGACTGGAAGCTTAAAAAGGAGGGTGGTGCTTGAAATCATTGTTCTTCCTCTGTTAACCTGGTTACCTGCAAGGAAACACGTGCCGTCATCATTGCTTTGCACAAAAAGGGCTTCACAGGCAAGGATATTGCTGCTAGTAAAATTGCACCTAAATTAACCATTTATCGGATCATCAAGAACTTCAAGGAGAAAGGTTCAATTGTTGTGAAGAAGGCGTCAGGGCGCCCAAGAAAGTCCAGCAAGTGCAAGGACCGTCTCCTAAAGTTGATTCAGCTGCGGGATCGGGGCACCACCAGTGCAGAGCTTGCTCAGGAATGGCAGCAGGCAGGTGTGAGTGCATCTGCACGCACAGTGAGGCAAATACTTTTGGAGGATGGCCTGGTGTCAAGAAGGGCAGCAAAGAAGCCACTTCTCTCCAGGAAAAACATCAGGGACAGACTGATATTCTGCAAAAGGTACAGGGATTGGACTGCTGAGGACTGGGGTAAAGTCCTTTTCTCTGATGAATGCCCTTTCCGATTGTTTGGGGCATCCGGAAAACACCTTGTCCGGAGAAGACAAGGTGAGCGCTACCATCAGTCCTGTGTCATGCCAACAGTAAAGCATCCTGAGACCATTCATGTGTGGGGTTGCTTCTCAGCCAAGGGAGTGGGCTCACTCACAATTTTGCCTAAGAACACAGCCATGAATAAAGAATGGTACCAACACATCCTCCGAGAGCAACTTCTCCCAACCATCCAAGAACAGTTTGGTGATGACCAATGCCTTTTCCAGCATGATGAAGCACCTTGCTCTCGAGTGGTGCAGCGGTCTAAGGCACTGCATCTCAGTGCTTGAGGTGTCACTACAGACCCCCTGGTTCGATTCCAGGCTGTATCACAACCGGCCGTGATTGGCAGTCCCATAGGGTGGTGCACAATTGGCCCAGCATCGTCCGGGTTTGGCCGGTGTAGGCCGTCATTGTAAATAAGAATTTGTTGTTAACTGACTTGCCTAGTTAAATAAAGGTAAAATAAAATAAGAAATAAGGCAAAAGTGATAACTAAGTGGCTCGGGGAACAAAACATCGAAATGATGGGTCCATGGCCAGGAAACTCCCCAGACCTTAATCCCATTGAGAATTGATGGTCGATCCTCAAGAGGCGGGTGGACAAACAAAAACCCACAAATTCTGACAAACTCCAAGAATTGATTATTCAAGTATGGGCTGCCATCAGTCAGGATGTGGCCCAGAAGTTAATTGACAGCATGCCAGGGCGGATTGCAGAGGTCTTGAAAAAGTTGTCTCTTTGCATAAAATATTGACTCTTTGCATAAACTTAATGTAATTGTCAATAAAAGCCTTTGACAGTTATGGAATGCTTGTAATTATACTTCAGTATACCATAGTAACATCTGACTAAAATATCTCATAACACTGAAGCAGCGAACTTTGTGAAGACCAATACTTGTGTCATTCTCAAAACTTTTGACCACCACTGTATGCACAAATTCTTCCGAACTGTTTCGTCTGGAAAGCATGCGGACACCTTAAGGAAGCAGCGCTAGAACTCTGACCTGCTCCTTAACTAGGTGTCAGATAAGACCTGAGTGACAATCTGCACGCTGCTGTCCTCCAACCCCCTTCAAGCATCCAACCCCCTTCAAGCATCCCCTTCTCTTCCATTCAGCCCTGTTCCCCAGCCCTAGGAGGGTGAGCGGAGGAGCAATAGGAGACATCCCCATCCAGCTAGCTCTATTTAAAGACTTTGCTCTGTTAGATGAAGTTTGAGGAAAGTAGCTAACAGCTACCCATGGGAATGTCTCGTCTCAAACTGTGCTGTCAGTCTCAGTGCCAATCAGCAGGCAGCCTGTTGGCCTGTCTGTGTGTTTGGCTCTGCCTGCCCAGAGCCTCTGCCCTCTCTGCCTCTGTGATGAGAGCTCTCTGGCTAGTCTCTCCTTCCATAGCCCCAGGTCAGTACCGTCCAGGACCACAGGGAAAATGCAGCTTTTTTTCTTCATACAACTGATTCTATGACTCTCTGCTCCAGAATGCTTCATGGTTTTATTGAATCTGCCATGGCTCGGTTTCCCTTCACGCCGTTATTTCCTGCCACTGTAGCACATGTATGAATGGCTTAGTTAAACCAAATTGAAAATCTCTGTATGTGAATACAAATCAAGGACACAACTGATATAGCAACAGACCTAGAAAGACCCCAGTACCTAGCATTGAAATATAAATCCTCTAGTTATATGGTACCCTGCAAAGCCATTTATTAAGATAGGTTGGAAAATGCAGTTTCTAAATATATGGCTCTGGTACCCAGTCCTTGTATACATTACCTGAAGGCCTCGATGATGTATGCGGTGACAGCGGCTCCACCCTCGTGGGGGTTGGACTGCCAGGTGAGGGTGACTGTGTTCCTGGTCACATCTGTCACCACAGGCTTCTGGGGCGGCCCTGGCAGCTGGATGGACTCTGACACCCTGGGAACTGATGACCCAGGGGCTCCGTCCTCTGGGACGCAAACAGGGATACGGCATGAGATAACATGAGACACAGTGGTGGTATGTGATAATGGTAACTTGGTGTACTGGGATATAGTATGAGTTTGACTGTTTATTTTTCAAGTCTATTGATTTCCACACACAGTAGTGATGAATCCTGTAGCTAAAGCAGGAAAGTAGGTTTCCATAAGGTGTAATGTATCTTTTGAAACCAATGGTGTTTGTTTGGTTTTGTGAGGCGCTGAGAGGAGTGTGTATATGTTTACCTCTCATGGTGAGTGTCCCGCTCCAGCTCGACTCGCCCGTGGCGCTCAACACCACACACGTGTACATTCCCGAATCCGTATCCTAGCAACAGAGAGGCGCATTTGAGCTCCCTTTCACGAGGAGAGGGGACCCAAAACATTGGAACCACAGTGCTTTAGATCCTTTCTGTGTTTGCTCATCCGAGTGGAGCAGCGGATCTCCTCTTTTTACTTATTAATTGCTTTGTTCATTGCTTTGCCGCCGTCCTGAGACTCACTTTTAGAGTTTAAAGTTAAAAGCTTTTACGAAATGCCACTTTGCCACAAAGCAGACATCACTCAGCCACAGTAGCAGTAGGAGTCTAAATGGGATTCATCTCCCCATATGCATGGTCTACCTCACAGGTGTCAAACTCATTCCAGGGAGAGTTGGACACCCCTAGTCTACCTGCTCTCCTTTTCCACAGTACTGTATACATGTCCACACGCTTCACTGGTCTAATGGTGTTACTAACACTGGGCTGGCGGAGTGCCAGTCTACTGTAACCAACATCAATTCATGTTAGATCATTCACCACAGCATTGACCTCTGGTTGGTGGACTGGTAGTATGTGGACAGATGAACTGTGTGAGTTGAACCACTGCTGAAATATTGAAGACTAGGATCCCAAGGCTAAATATTTGTAGCCCCTCTTTCTCCCTCTACATCTCATCCTCTCCATTCCTCTCCCTCCCTCCCTCTCTCTCCATGCCAAGCTAATGCATCTCTTCTGTTCCATTGAGCGCAGTGACATGGCAGATTTCCCCTGCCTCAATGATGCATTGGACCTTGTGTTAATGCTCCAAGTTTGCTGAGCACCACTGCTGAGACAGAGACACAGAGAGACAGAGAGACAGAGCGAGAGCGCAAGAGAGAGCGAGTTGTGCCAGAGATGTAATTAAAGGCTATGAAATCGTTAATCATGCGTGACCACAGTCAATCAGCACAAACTATGCTGCTCTCCCCACTCCGCACGCTCACCTCCAGGTGAGGCCACAGCACAAAAAAGGGCCACTGACTGCTCTTTCATCAAAGCAGAACACATTTACATTTGCAAACAAGCGCCTTCATTAACATTACAATTACACACTGCATAGGCACGTAATCGCGCCGGAGAGGTCAGTTTGAAATTCAGTTTCACCTTCATTTTTATAATGGAGGAGAACATAAAAACGTTTGTTGGTTACCCTCTGGCTTTGGAGAAAGTAAAAATGTAACGATGATGGATGGCAGGCATTTCTGTACAGCTGCGCGATACTAATTTATTCATGAGGATCAAAAGACAAAATCAGATCACAGCCATATTTTTATTCCATGACATCATACACGTACCTCAACGTTAGTGATCTGCAGCGTCCCGTTCTCCATCAGGGTCATGCGAGGGTTGTCCCCCACAATCCGCTCCCCGTCCTTTTCCCACACAATCCTTAGTGAGGGTCCACCAATCGCATGACACTGCAACTGGGCAATGGACCCCAGAGCCAACGTCTGATTGGCTGGGCCTTGGCGGATGATTGGAGGAACACGGTCTGAAGGACCTATGGGTGAGAGGGAAGAACAGACAGGATATTATGTCAGTGGGTCCTGTCACACACACTAATGTCCACTTTATTTGACAGTGGTTATGGTAGAGCTGTCAGAGCCTATCTGCCCATCCATATGTGTGTGTTGTAATGTCAATGTATTTTTGCTGGGCTCTCTTCTCCAGAGTACCATATTCCTTCCTCATCCCAAAGTTACCCCCTCCATCCCTCAAACTCACCCCCTTCCACCTCCAGCAGGGCTTTGGTCAGGACACTTCCTGCTACACTGATGGCCTGGCAGATATAATACCCAGAATCCTCTAGGTGCACGTCTGTGATGGACAGTTCACCACTCATGGACACAGAGTAGCGGCCGGACTGGGATAGGGGCTGGCCAGGAAACAGCAGCATCTACACACAAACAAACACACGCACGCACACACAGAGAGAAAGAAAAACTTGCATCTTAGCTAGTGATGAGAGATTGTGTATGCATGCATTATATGGCCATCACTTTTCCAACACAATACAGAATAGCAGGAGATCTTGGGACTTTTGTTTTGGTCTGTTGGCTTGATGTGAGCTGACAGATGCTTAACACATGGCCAGAGTGATGAGAGGGGGAGATGGGCATGAATAGGGGAAAGGGACATCCTTCCATCTATCTCCCCATCCATCCATCCATTTCATTCCTCTAAGAGGCTTAGACTGAGTGAGAGGAGGACCAGGGTTATAAGGCCACAAGATAATCCCAAAAGTACAGCAAACCGCTTCCCAAACAGGGGACCAGGCACCACAACTATCACAGACTGGAACAAATTTAAACTTATTCGGAAAGCCTCAGGCCAACTTCCCCCTGCCTGGCGGACCTGAGGGTTAACTCCTCTACTAGAACCATCTAGACTAAGTGATCTTGATTGTTCCCCCGCTGTTATCAGAAGGTATTTATAGTAAGTTATAATGATAGAAGGCGTTAAACATTGTGTTTCTGTACCTATTTCCCGGGGAGGCAGCTCCTCTCCCACCTGATGTAGCTCATCTACCCTTCCTCCCCCTCTCTTCATCTGTCTGCAGGTAACAGCGACTTCCTCGCCAACGCATTTCCCGTGATTCCTTCCAACACCTATTGGTCGTCGCATCTCACAGCCAAATGCAAACGAGCTCCCTCCCTCATTTCACCTTGGCCAATGTCTCTTCAAGAGCACGGCAATCGAGAAAAATGTGGGAAAAGCGTTGTTTAATCTAACGATTCCCCGGCTTGTTTCAAGCTGAGAGAAATCAAATGAGTCACCACCAAACAAACATGGTGAGAAAACTATGTCTGCTGCTGATCAAAATAACGGCCTGTTGAGTACAAATAAGGCTAAAACACATCAAAATCCTACTTAAATGTGACATAACATCATTACTTTGTTGATCAGTTTAAATAGCCATTTATCTGACAACACATGTTGTAGTGTCTACATAGTTGGAATTTTGTTTAAATTATTTTAACCTCTTTACAAGGTATTAGTCTTTTTTCTTTCTTTTTTTTTGAAGTAGTCTTTATTGACCGCTCTCTTCCTGTTTGTCAGGAAGTGACATTCTTACCTGGCTTCCTTCTTTCTTCCAGAAGATGGCGGGTGAGGGGTTTCCTCGGGTGCCACAGCGGAAGGTGACGCTGCGCCCCTGAGCAGAGATCTGGTCCTGGGGTTTAATGGTGATCTGTGGAGGCACTGGAGAGGACAGCAGAGACACTCGGTTAGGAGATTCAGATTTTAGGTGTTAAGTTTTAGCATTTAAATTGACAATTTTTCTGCATAATCGATACTTACTAAGTAATGCCAGAACAGTATTGATTAAACATTTAGCATATAGAACTACCCTTTTTACTCCATGATTTGACTGCTGTCACCCTCAGCCAGTTGATATATGGTTTCCCTTTCTGATTAATCTGCCCTCTCATTTTCACATTATCGAGTGAAGACATTGATGCCTATCTTTTATACTGACACAGGCCATCATCTAATTCCAATCTTAAACTATTGTGACGGTATTTGTGGGTTTACTTTGGAGTGATATCAGTGGAAATGAACTGGCAGTCAGGTTGTGTGTTGTGGCCACAGCTTGCTTCTGATCCCACCACATCCTATCTTCCTATAGACTTTGACTGCACAACGACAGCATTGACTCCCCTTCCATAGACTCTGAGCTCTCCTGCTGTTTACTCTCCTCAGCAGGCTTCTTCCCTGTCTTCATACACACACACACACACACCGCACACACACACACACGGGATCAGGCTAAATCCTCAAGGGAACTGAGTCATCTGTGTCGTGTCTTGATTTTCCCTCTGAGGGAGAACACAGCAGATCTTCCCACATCAGAGATGGCGCACGCACACACAGCCACAGAGAGCGACTGACTTCACTACACTAACATCACTAACCAGCCAGCAGGGGGGATGTAACTATGACAGGGAACCGTGCAGAGAAACCATGTTAATAAACATTAATGTGGTTTATGTTCAATTCAAATAGAGTCATGATCAGAGTGAACATGTATTAGCAGTTCTGTTACCTTCAGACATTTAGATATTATTTTTTTTGGGGGGGGGGGGTAAAAAAACAAACATCAAATGAATAGTGGTATTTTCCATTGGAAAAATGTCGCATTCATCAATCATGGATTTCTATGGTAACAAACAAAGAACAGTATGTCAGTGAATGTCTGAACTTTGTGTCCTCAAATATCAACACACTTCTTTAATGAGAGTAAAAACAGCAGATGTGTGTGTTTGATACCAATCCTTAATCTGGTGTACATTAAGTCACTGTGTCAGAGTACAGGCTTACTTACTGCACTGCCTGAGTGCTTCAACAGACCACTAGACTAGAGACACGACCATGCAGTAAGTCATGTTACAGGCTCTTTTAAACCATTAGGTGAAATTAATTTGAAAGAAAATCTACAAACAAAGTCAGAATGGTGTGGGGGGAAATAAAATGAAACGGAATGAGATGGCTGACTACAGTAAAATGTAAAAAATGAAAACATGACATCTCCTACATAGTCAATGAAACATGGAACAGAATGAAGGGAATGCATTGTTTGAAGAGGGTTTAGATTTTATCAGGACTGACAAAAGCAATGGAGGATGAAGTCAACCCCACTGCCCACTCAGCCAACACACACACACATACACATACACGTCTTATTAATAGTGGTCCTGCTCTCTGGCAGTGTGTTAAAGCGCACCATCTCCCAAACAGCTGTCAGAGGGAGTAATCCATACGGTTTAGCATAATCTTCTGTCAGTGGAGTTGAAGAGAGCCCAGCACAAATGCATTGATATGCCAACACATATTCCAACATACACGGATGGATGGGCAGAGCTCTGACAACTCTAAATGACCACTGTCAAATTAAGTGGACATAACAGTGTGTGACCGTACTGTACTGAATGCATGAGTGTGCCTTTGCGGGTGAGAACGCATATCAGTGGGTGTGAGTGTGTGCGAGCGAGTGAGTGAGAGAGAGAATATTTGTTTCTTACCATGGACCTGTAGCATGGCTGAAGCCTCTGTCTTGCCCACACTGTTCTCAGACATACAGGTGTAAGTTCCCTCGTCCTCCCCTCTCACCCTGGTCAGACGCAGGCTGTTGTCACTGCGGATCTCAAACCTGGAACAGACACACAGAGAGTCAAAAGTATTTTCATAAAGCAAACCATAGAGACGGAAAGACCATGGTTGTGTCGGAATACCCATACTTGCGTTCTAAATAGTAGGCATTTTAGTTATGCGAAAATATAAAGTTTTATAGTATGTGACATTTCAAGAATCGAGTAAGCTTTAAATGCCAGGATGTTATAATCATTTCGGGTTTTCATCTAGTAGAATTCAATGCACACTTTTGAAGAAGAGAATCGTCATTCCAGACTCACGTGTGATAATCAGCTGATAATGAGATAAGGGGACGCGCTGTACCCAAATGAACGAATGGCAGGAATCAACGGAATTGTGCATTAGATGACACATTCTCAGTAGGATGAACCCAGTATGTTGATATTTGTTGCTTACTGCATTTGTTTTTACTAAACAGTATGTTCTAAATAGTATATAGTACGATTAGTACACAGTATGTAGTTTTAGTAAGTAGTAGGCAAGACAGATTTTGGATACGGTCAAGGTGTGAGAAGCACTGCCTTTGAACTATGTAAAAGTGACCTTGAATGTACCTGACCCTCTGACCCATCAAAATGTAACTGTATGAAGTAATCTGAATAAAGAATTAGAGTCAACCCTATAACTTAATACATCTGCAGAGAGAGATGCACAAGTCAACCGTGTTAGAGTCAAACAGCCAATCAGAATGGGCAGAGTGAGTCACCGCCGTCACCATGAGACCATCTTAGAGTAATACTTTTTTTTTTTTTTTCTTACCCCCCCCCTCCCCATAGTTACAGTGTAATCATAATAATATAAATATGTATATTTTGTGCACCCGGATGATCTTCCAACTGTATAGTGAAGTTGCAGAGTCACAGGAGGTACATGTTAACTAATGAATCCTCACTGGCCTTCCATTCATGAATTTGTATTGGCTGAGGGAAGGGAAGGCATAAATAAATGAGTAATTACTGTAGCTGGGCTTTCTAGGTCACATACTTTAATCCCATATGTATCCCTGCTGAATGGGCTTCCCTAATTCTGTCAGTCTGTCTGTACCTCCAGCACGCCATCAATCAATATGTCACATACTTTAATCCCATATGCATCCCCAGGATTAGGGGAGGGTTTGGCCGGCCGGGATTTCTTTGTCCCATCACGCTCTAGCGACTCCTTGTGGCGGGCCGGGCACCTGCAAGCTGACTTCGGTCGCCAGCTGGACGGTGTTTCCTCCGACACATTGGTGTGGCTGGCTTTCGGGTTAAGCGAGCAGTGTCAAGAAGCAGTGCGGCTTGGCACGGTCGTGTTTCGGAGGACGCATGGCTCTGGAGCATTGCCTCTCCCGAGTCCGTGGGGAGTTGCAGCAATGGGACAAGAGTAACTACCAATTGGATATCACGAAATTGGGGAGAAAAAAAGTAATACAAAATATATTTAAAAAAATAGCATAGCCCTATTTATTTCTGCAACAACACACTTCTCATCACAAATTGTAAGCAAGCTAGTTACGGTGCCTTCTAAACACATGATTGACATCGAAAAAGAGGGTGGGCTATCAACTGATCATTGACGTTGATGATTGATGTAAATCTGCTAGTTAGCTAGAGCGATTTATTTTACTGATTATGATTTATCTTCAACGCTCATATCAAATAAGAATAACTTCATAATATAATATTCCTAATCTTCTAACTCATATGGCTGGCTGGCTAGTGGCTTGTGTGGATATTTTAGTATATGGTGGTTAGTTAGAGTCTAGACTACCTGTGTTGCTGCTGCTCTGACACATGTGCAACTACCGACTGAAGAACGGGTGGAGTTGGGTCGGAGGGTCGTTGATGCAGCCGCTCCTCTCTACATCTTTTTGCCTCTCTCTGCTGCGTGTATCAGCCAACCAGACCCAATATTATTGATAATGTAGGCTAAATCAAGTGTTAATAAAATGTTATGCTGCTGTGGTAGTAATGTTGAAATTTAAACAACAGTGAGGGAAAAAAGTATTTGATCCCCTGCTGATTTTGTACATTTGCCCACTGACAAAGAAATTATCAGTCTATAATTTTAATGGTAGGTTTATTTTAACAGTGAGAGACAGAATAACAACAAAAGAAATCCAGAAAAACGCATGTCAAAAATGTTATAAATTGATTTGCATTTTAAATGAGGGAAATAAGTATTTGACCCCCTCTCAAGCAGAAAGATTTCTGGCTCCCAGGTGTCTTTTTATACAGGTAACAAGCTGAGATTAGGAGCACACTCTTAAAGGGAGTGCTCCTAATCTCAGCTTGTTACCTGTATAAATGGCACCTGTCCACAGAAGCAATCAATCAATCAGATTCCAAACTCTCCACCATGGCCAAGACCAAAGAGCTCTCCAAGGATGTCAGGGACAAGATTGTAGACCTACACAAGGCTGGAATGGGCTACAAGACCATCGCCAAGCAGCTTGGTGAGAAGGTGACAACAGTTGGTGCAATTATTCGCAAATGGAAGAAACACAAAATAACTGTCAATCTCCCTCGGCCTGGGGCTCCATGCAAGATCTCACCTCGTGGAGTTGCAATGATCATGAGAACGGTGAGGAATCAGCCCAGAACTACACGGGAGGATCTTGTCAATGATCTCAAGGCAGCTGGGACCATAGTCAACAAGAAATAAAATCGGTAACACACTACGCCGTGAAGGACTGAAATCCTGCAGCGCCCGCAAGGTCCCCCTGCTCAAGAAAGCACATATACATGCTCGTCTGAAGTTTGCCAATGAGCATCTGAATGATTCAGAGGAGAACTGGGTGAAAGTGTTGTGGTCAGATGAGACCAAAATCGAGCTCTTTGGCATCAACTCAACTCGCCGTGTTTGGAGGAGGAGGAATGCTGCCTATGACCCCAAGAACACCATCCCCACCGTCAAACATGGAGGTGGAAACATTATGCTTTGGGGGTGTTTTTCTGCTAAGGGGACAGGACAACTTCACTGTTAAATCTTGGGTGAGAACATCCTTCCCTCAGCCAGGGCACTGAAAATGGGTCGTGGATGGGTATTCCAGCATGACAATGACCCAAAACACACGGCCAAGGCAACAAAGGAGTGGCTCAAGAAGAAGCACATTAAGGTCCTGGAGTGGCCTAGCCAGTCTCCAGACCTTAATCCCATAGAAAATCTGTGGAGGGAGCTGAAGGTTCGAGTTGCCAAACGTCAGCCTCAAAACCTTAATGACTTGGAGAAGATCTGCAAAGAGGAGTGGGACAAAATCCCACCTGAGATGTGTGCAAACCTGGTGGCCAACTACAAGAAACGTCTGACCGCTGTGATTGCCAACAAGGGTTTTGCCACCAAGTGTTAAGTCATGTTTTGCAGAGGGTCAAATACTTATTTCCCTCATTAAAATGCAAATCAATTTATAACATTTTTGACATGCGTTTTTCTGGATTTCTTTGTTGCTATTCTGTCTCTCACTGTTCAAATAAACCTACCATTCAAATTATAGACTGATCATGTCTTTGTCAGTGGGCAAACATACAAAATTAGCAGGGGATCAAATACTTTTTTCCCCTCACTGTAGTTAGCTAGCTACACACACTCGAGCAGTGACCGCACCTCTCAAGCCCTATCTGTGCTCATGCCTGTGCATCCCTGGTGAATGGGCTTCCTTCATTCTGTCAGTCTGTACCTCCAGCACTCCATCAATCAATGCATCACTGAGTGTTTTGTCCATCTCTTCAGATGTCAATCAATCCGTTTATTTTTCTATTAGTGAGTGGACCTGTCCGTCAATGTGTCCTCACCTCCCACGGGGGAGCTCCCCCTCCTCTCGGCGCCAGCGTACCGTAGGGGCGGGGTCTCCGTGTACCTCACACAGGAAATCAACGGTCTCTTCCTCCATCACCACCTGGTTCACCGGCCTCCGCATCAGCACAGGACGCTCTGCATAGAGAGACCCAGACTTACACACACAAAGACAGTGTAATGCGCGCATACACACACACTGGTGTGACAGACTCACCATACACCACCAACTCAGCAGGATCACTGTCCCTCTCTCCCACCATGTTGGTGCCCACACACACATACATGCCAGCATCACTCTTCCTGGTGTGGGAGATCATCAGCTTGCCCCCACGCATCTGAAAAACAAGACAGTGATGACAGGTCATCATATCACTCCATGTATTAGCCTTTGGGCTTTTCAGAGGAGAGGCAGTACTTCCACCATCTGACATAAGCACTTCAAATGCATGTATAATTTATGATTCCACCATCATCAGCATGTATCATTAAGGATTCCACCATCATCAGCATGCATCATTAATTATATTAATGGACTTTGAGACAGTTTGGGTTGAATTGGGATTTAACTGCACTGAGCACAGTGAGCTTTGGGTTGGATCTCTAGTGTATGTAAACTCTAGAGGGTTTTACTTCTAACTCGAATGAGCTTGATGTTGTAACTAGGGGTTATAGTTCATGGGTCATACAGTACGGTGAAAAAGTATTTGCCCCGTTTCTGTTTTTTTCTATTTTTGATACTGAATGTTATCAGATCTTCAACCAAAACCTAATATTAGATAAAGGAAACAGTTTACAAATAACAAAAAATATATTCTTATTTTATTTATTTAATTTATGAAGTCATGCAACACCCAATGCCCCTGTGTGAAAAAGTAATTGCCCCCTTACATTCAATAACTGGTTGTGCCACCTTTAGCTACAATGACTCCAACCAAACGCTTCTTGTAGTTGTTGATCAGACTCTCACGTCGCTGTGGAGGAATTTTGGCCCACTCTTCCATGCAGAACTGCTTTAACTCGGTGACATTTGTGGGTTTTCAAGCATGAACTGTTCGTTTCAAGTCCTGCCACAATATCTCAATTGGGATTAGGTCTGGACTTTGACTAGGCCATTCCAAAACTTCCAATTGGTTGCTTTTAGCATTTTCATGGAGACTTGATTGTGTGTTTTAGATCATTGTCTTGCTGCATGACCCAGCTGCGCTTCAGCTTCAGCTCACAGACGGATGGCCTGACATTCTCCTGTAAAATTCTCTGATACAGAGCAGAATTCATTGTTCCTTCTATAAGTCAAGTCATCCAGGTCCTGAGGCAGCAAAGCATCCCCAAACCATCACACCACCACCATGCTTGACCGTTGGTATGAGGTTCTTACTGTGAAATGCAGTGTTTGGTTTTCGCCAGGCATAATGGGACCCATGTGTTATTTGTTCACTCAGGTTCCCTTTTCCTACTATTAGGGTTTGTTTGAAGATCTGATAACATTCAGTATCAAAAATACATGCAAAAGTAGAGAAAATTAGAAAGGGGGCAAATACTTTTTCAAAGCACTGTATAGGTGAGACTCACAGAGATGCGATCATCCTTGTTGCTGACGCGGGCATTGTTCCTCTTCCAGGAGACGGTGGGCTCAGGGTGACCCCGGGGGGGAACACACTCCAGAACCGCTGGCTCACCAGCTGCAACCACCACATCACTGGGGGCCTGGCGGAAGTCATCCCTCAGGACTGGGGAGAGGAGAGCATAGACATGGTTTAGACTATCTATTCATATTATTGTACCTTTATTTTACCAGCTAGGTAAACACATTAGGAAAAATAGACAGTCAAACTATATAGCAGATCGTTTTTATCTATTAATTTAGTACCATTATATGTATGTTATTGTGAATATATTGTCTTTCAAATGCTAACTATTAGATAGACAGATAGATATATCAGAATTGGCCTACACATCAATCTCCAATGCGGTATTCTGTCCATGTCATCACAAGTGCAATGTCAAATATTGTCCTTGTAATTAATTTGAGCATATTTAATATGTAGAGTTTCTGTTTGAAGGTTAGACGAGAGGAAAACAAGCTGATTGGGTGAGAGCAGTACATTGTGTTTTGTGCTTGTACATGACTGTTCAAATCCTTGGCAACTTCCTTGTTGTGCAGTGTTTTGATGTTTCCTGTGCCGCATCCTAGTCTGCAGTCTCTACTGTCAGAGTGGATGAATAATGCACATCTCTCAGTCCAACACAGAGTAAAAAATACAAACACATTAATAATTTAACCTGTCAGAGGGGAAAATGGCATCACATATTAGCGCAATGCTTCTGTCTCACACTGGAAACTATGCTAACTCACAGCTCCGTACTACAAATCTGACAGTGACACAATGAACGAAAAAAAAAAAAAGGGGACGTGATCTTTATGTCACTGTCACACTGAGGTTAGCAGCCTTTACTCTGCAAATGAAGACAGGATGAGAGGCTTGACTTGGCAGCAACCTTTGTCATTAAATCCCAGCAGTGACTGACAGAGGAAAGCTACTGTATGAACGCTGATGCCTGGCCAAGGCCTCAGGAAACCTGTGCAGCACTACTATTCCAGCCTCTCTGAGGGTCTGCAGGCAACCTATGAACACTTTCCTCTGGCTTTTTCCTTCACCAACAGACACACACACACACACACACACACACACTACTCCAGAATACAATATCTTCTTATACCTTTATAAATATTTTAGGTTGGCATTTTACAAAGTAAGCAATCAGACCGTCTGCCTGCCTGTCAAACTATCCATCTGTTAGCACGGTAATGCATCAACACCCAATCAAATCAATTAGCACTGCAAATATGCTGTGAATTAGTCCAATCTCAAACATCAGTTAATCTATACTAAACGCATTAGTGAACTCATCACCTGTCGGTCAACTGGACGTCTCTCCAGCTAAGCCACACTACCCCCATCACTTATCACCTCACGTGTGTTTGACAGATACCTCCTCATCAACACAGTAGCTACCTGTGTCTTAACATGGCATTTATATTCACAACCACAGTGACTGACTGACTGATTACCATCTCATTTAGTTTATCACAGCCATCTAGAGCATAGCGACTGGCTCCCCTCTATCTTGAGTTGTAAGGGCTGCAATTATCTTGGGAAACGTGTTGCTATGAATATTCTAATCTCTGAGAAGCAGACAAATGGTGGCTGGGCCATCGCTGATCCGGCTGTGTTTCAGATCCGCTGTCAGGATTGAAGTGGTCATCTGTCGATCTGTCTGGTCAACCTCCCCCCTCCCTCTCGCCAGCCCCCCAATATGAGAATCTGTCACACACTCTCTGCCTGCCTGAAGTCGCTGCCTGTTCAAATGCAGCAGTAATCTCTACTTTTGATCATTTGGAGGCATTTTTTCTGTATTATAATGAAGCACATTTAATTCCCCAGCTGAGGCTTTTGTCATTGACGTGACATTTAAACTTTTAGAAAAGTCGAATTCTGTTACCCATTTGTTTCAAAAGTAAAGTCTTGTTCAGAACATTAAAAAGCTTGTCAGAATTCCTCATCACATTCAACTGGAGTTTTTCTCTCTCAGATTGTAATACATCCACCACATCTGAATCTAAGATACACAAGGCCTATCAGTTCATCCAACTAGTAGGAGTTGCGCCCCTACAGTCTGGGGTGAGTTAAGTACATAGGTAGGGGGGCAGTTTAAGGGAACATTTACAGGCATGCGCTGCCTGGACATCTGTCCCTTCAGGGGTCTAACGGAACCCCTTGACTTCCCATCCTACTCGCCCCCAAAACCCAACAAAAAGGGACCCCAACACAATTAAAGAACCACCCTCTAGACGATTGATGGATGAGCTATAACCTGTCAAAGCACACACCCTTCCCAACAGTCTGTTCAGTAGTCCCAACTCAGCTGGCTGCTTGTTTGAAAAGCTTCAGAGAGCTGAGGGCTAATTGAAAGTGGTGTATTATTTTTTGAGCTCCGTCTGTAAAGGGCTGGTGCAGAGACGAGACCGGGAGCACACCCAGCCATGTTGAGGGAACTGAAGAGAAGTCATGGTTATAGAGCCAATGAGCTAATCCCATAACCACACACACACACAAACACCTCTCCACTCTCACCCACACATTCAACCACAGAAGTCCCAGAATGTGGGCCATTTGAGGGCTTGAAACACGTGTCAGAGAGCGGAATGTAGCCTCAGATAATTTCCCCCCCAACACTGTGCAGTGCGAGCAGCCAAGAGCAACTCTTTGAAGCTGTTGGAAGTTAATACGATCCCTCCTTCACCCAGGCTTTAAAGGATGCCATGCTAAAAGTCGTTTCATAGAATTCACACACTGTTATATTTTTATGAAATTATAAATGGCACCACAGGAATCTCCTGATATTCTCAGACAGACAGATGGCCAGGGGACTTCCTGAGGTAACGTCCAAAACACAGTCTTTGTACCAAACATGACTCACACTGATTCCCACTGGTGGTGAATAAGTACCAGAACATCCTGAATCTGAACTATCCCTACATCACCTTACGGTGACAGGAGTGGAGAAGAGGGCACCTAAGGGCCTAGCCTGGCCTGGGGATAACTAAAGACCCTATTGACTGTAAGTCGCTTTGGATAAAAGCGTCTGCTAAATGGCATATTATATTATTATATTCATCTACCTCCTGCTATTTCTTTAGCTCAGCTTTAACAATGTGGCTAAATGACTAACCATTATGCTCTATGGTTACTACTGTAATAAATTGTTAAATTTACATTTTAGTCATTTAGCAGACACTCTTATCCAGAGCGACTTACAGTAGTGAGTGCATACATTTTCATACTTTACTGTTACTACTACATTCCAATCCTTCGACAGTGCCATTTATTTTCATAATTTTAATGTTTCAGGGATATACAGATTAAGAGATTAAGAATATCCTCAGATATTCACTGTATTTTTAAGTGACATTAATCTCAATATTTAGCATTTAGCAAGAGTGCAGCTTTAGTGCAGTCGTAGTGGCCATCTGTTAGTGTTTTAAAGGGGGGAGATGGGAGAGTAGTCATGGCAATAATGGGCTGCTTTGCATCGTGTGGCCATTGTCAGTCAGTTCACTATGGACACCATTAGACTAAACATCAGTCAGTGATCAGATTCATTGAACAGTCTCAAGGCAGGATGGAGGAGTAGGGTTGACAGGATTGGGGAGGAGTGTAGGGAGAAGGTGAGGATGGAGGGGGCACTCTAAAGGTGGTGTGTGGGACAGGGTTGAAAGGTTGGGCAGAGTTTGGGAGGGACAGAGTGCAAGTTGACTTTAATTGGGATGAGTCTTGCCCTTGAGGCAGAACTGAGTGATATCCGCTAGATGGGCCAGCTGCAAATGCTATATTGTAAAAATGCATGAAAACAAAAAATTTGATTTTTGGTCTTAATTTAAGGTTAGAATTATGCATTAGGGTAAGCAGTGTGGTTAAGGTTAAAATATGACTTTGTGGCTGTGCCAGCTAGTGACCACTCTGCAGAGCTTCCTCCAGAACAAGATTCATGATGAAAAAACGCTAACCAGCAGACACAGTCGTGAGCTGTGAACAGCAGCACAAGGCAGCTCCCGCTCAGCCCAGTCAGAGCTCTTCTCTGTCCTGGAACCCTCCACCACTTTCCTACTAGCACTGCCTTTGCTGATAACATATTTACTGAGGGAAAATGTACTTGCTATGATTGTGATATGTAGTCGTCTTACCTAGCTATCTTAAGATAAACACACTAATTGTAAGTCGCTCTGGATAAGAGTGTCTGCTAAATGACTAAAATGTCAATGTAGATGAAGAGGTGTGTATGGGATGGGAGCCTAGCAGGCAAGTGGAAGTGTTCTATCTGAGAGCAGGTCCTAGAGTAAAGTGACCTGATTGTCAGTCAGTCATTTTACTTTTGTCTAAGTGCAGTAGGAGTAAACCCATTAGAGGTGGTCTAATCCTCTCTCTCTGCTACTGCCGTGTCACGGCTAATAGAGCCAGCTGGCGCCTGTCGAGAGGAGAGGAGGGATTGATTTAATCCAGCCATTGTCTGTGTTTACCAGGTCTCCTGAGCCTGTTGTGTTTCAATGGTTGGACGAGTGGTCAACTCATGCCTACAAATTCATCCTTAGGCACTTGTTAAAGCCAACTAAATTATTCAAAATCTCTAATCCTTTATGTAAATGATTATGACCAAAAAAATGAATAACGTATTGTAGTAACAATAGAGTTCAAATGAACAGTTTGGGCACTGTGATATCTGTCCATTCAGGGTTTAAAGAGACCAGTGGCAGAATTGTTGTGTAGAAGAGGCCAAGAAACAAGCTGCAGCCCAAAATGTCATTCCTTCATAATCCCCCCATCAGGAGAAAGAGGGACATCTGGCCCAAAAGCCTTTTAAGCAAGTTTTATTTTTTATTTGTCCTACTTTATTTTAATCCAGCTCAGAGAACGCGGCTGTTTGCTCCCTCAGACAGACATTCACGTCTTTGAAATAGATACCGCTTTCCTCTTCTTCTTACATAAAGGCTATCTGACAGAGCAGAACACTGCTATTTTTGGGAGGAATATGTGAATGGATTCATACACAATATCTCATTAACTAGGCGCCTCAACAGCCCTGCTATTCAGCTGGTCGCTTGCAGCTTATTCATGCCAACAACAAGAACACAGGCAGCAATAAATCACTGTTTAGCATTTCCATACCCAACATTAAGCTTATTCTGAGGAAGTCAAATGAAGCAACACTGTCTAGCTATACTGAAGCCTGAGTTGTGGACCCCGAAGGCGAAAAAGCATTTAAGCATGAAATACATGTCACTTCCGATGCATTTGTGCTGTGAAGGGACTGATTGTGTGGAAGGAACTAACTGTGTAGAAATATATCTATCTAAATTCCACAACCCTGTTGCGGTAATACTCTACTTTAGCCAATCCCCATTACAGTCAGGGCAGGGTGAGGTGTCATGGTTCAGATCTATGCGTGCCTACATACCACAGAAATTCAATGGATCTTTCCTCTGAGCTACTCCCATCCAGGAGTTGCATTGATCTCACTGTGACATTTCACTATCGTTACCATGGTAGCAATTCAGTCCTAATCAAGACATTTAGTGAAGCTAAGACCACCAACACCCTACTGTCTTAACATATTCCCCAGCTACCCAGAGGCACCAGACCTAGGACAATACAGTCATTACCGCAGTTAGTCACCGAGAGTCTGCATCTAGGTGATACATAGCCTTACTGGTATGACTGCGTCATCTCCAGCTACATCGCCACTGGCTGAGGAGAATTCATCATCAAAAACAACAATATAACTGTGGCGCTTAAATGTTTTTCTATGGAAGCTGTTCTGTGCTAATATATTTAGTTTTTCTCTAATATTTGATGTTCTGCCGTTTATGAGTGTGGATATATCACTCAGTGTGGAAGCTGAACTAAAGCTGGCCCTATTTTTGAACATGAGCTGTGGAGGAGGTCCGTGAGCCATGAGCAGTTAGAGGCTGAGGGTGAGGAGGCCTGGCTGGCTCTGTGCTCTGGTGGAAGATAAGATGCAGGCAAATTGCTGTTTTATGTTTTTAAACGAGGAGACATTCCTTAATCTGTTATGCTCCTTTTCCTAATTAACACACTCCGCTAATCCATTTCCTAACGCCAGAAAGGGCCTGCGTTCAGCCCTGGGTCATGCCACACTGCCACAATTAGAAGGGGAAAGAGAGAAAGTGGCAATTTTTTATGTTTTGTTTTACCCCTTATGTAACTCTGTGTTGTTGTTTTTAATCGCACTGCTTTGCTTTATCTTGGCCAGGTCGCAGTTGTAAATGAGAACTTGTTCTCAACTGGCTTACCTGGTTAAATAAAGGTGAAATAAATAAAATAAAAATAAATAAAGTGATGTGGTTGTTACTAGTTACCACAGCCACAAAGTCATTTGGCTATATCGCAAAACAAAAAAAGAGATTTTTGGTCTTAATTTAAGGTTACTCGTGTGGTTAAGGTTAGGGTTAAAATCAGATTTTAAAAATATAAATTGTAGAAATAGGCGGGGTTTATGACTTTGTGACAACTAGTGACGACCACGTGATACTGAGGGCTACAATACATGGTCATATTTTCAGAAGTTCAAGATAGCAGCTGAAAGCCTGTCCTCTTCACCTGTTGTGCTTTGAGAGAGAGCGAGCGAGACAAACACACACAGGTCATGGGTGACATATACAGCAAGTAAAATTACAAAGACTTACTGGCCACTTCCAGTGAAGCGTTGCGACTGACAGCCTCTCCAAGGTAGTTACGTGCCACACAGGTGTAGACGCCCTCGTCTGGTTTGGAGCGTCGTCCGTGGACGATACGCAGGAAGAAGAGGGAGCCGCTGGGAAGGAGCATTCGGTGAGACCGAGGGTCATCCCGGTCCGTTTCCACCCGCTCCCCGTCCTTGTACCACTCCACAGTGGGGTTAGGCCGCCCCTCTGCCTTGCAGTTGAGGGTCGCGGGCTCCCCCTTGGACACAATCAGGTCAGAGGGGTCCTCCACGATCCGAGGTGGGCTGTCCTCAAAACGTGCACGGGACCCTGTAAGGTAAAATAGGTTTACTATCCATGCAGCTGTCTATCAGTCATTCATACTGTAGCCCAAACCTGCCATCTCTGAAAGAAAACATCATAACATAATGTAATCCCATTGAGAAAAAGGCAGTAGAAAGGCTCTGTGGCAGGCAAACCCAAATCCATCTCCACTGACATGGACGTATGGATGCATGAAGTCTGAGGGAGAGACAGATGGGTTGGACAATAATAGAGAAATACATCTGTCACTCACCACTGAGATCTGCTACCGTGATAGTAAAGCTGACAACAAGGCTCAGAACTTTAGTACTGAAGATCTCATGTTGTTGTCGTTTCTCCCCACTCCATAGAGATAAATCACATCTTTATTTTACCTTCTGGGCCTCTGTTATTCTACTGTTTAATAAAACACCTTATCAGACAGCCCCTTGAGCATAGGTAAGTAAGTATCCTGCTTGTATACTGTTCACACTGTAATGAGTGTATCATCCCATCTAGCCTTTTAACCAACGTCCATTTAGATGCCATTTGTCAGTAATGGTGGGTAGCCTGCTGAAGAAGACAAGTTTTACTCTGATGGGGTATTTTCAAAAGGAGGAAGAAGCCACAGGAGATGGTAATGGCCAATCTCAATGTCAGTCAGGATTTCAGCAGAGAAGACATGAAGGCCAGTGACATGCTAACTAAAACAAGACAGAGCTAGAAAGCCAAACGAGATTGAAGTGGGTAGAATATAAGAGAGAAAAGAGAGAGAGCGAGAGAAAGAGAAATATATATATATATATATATATATATATGGAGAGAGAGAGCGAGCGAGCGCTCTCCCATATCCCTCCCTCTTGGGATCCATTACTGTTAACCTCTGCTGTATGGGAGAAGAGTAGTTCTCCAAGCCAAGGGCTTCAGCTAAGCTTTTAGAGTAGATGGCTCTAACTATGTGTACTACAGTTGTGTGTCTGGAATGTATATCATTAAAATTAAGAAAAAAGCAAAAGCCTCCAATTGTCACGAACGTTGACTGATGACTCGTGGAACCAAGGCGCAGCGTGATAAGCGTACATTTTATTTAGTACACAACACACGAACAAAACAACAAAACGAACGATACGTGAAGTCCTGCGGTTACAACAACACAAACCTTTACGGAACAAGATCCCACAACCTAACTGGTGCCAACAGGCTGCCTAAGTATGGTCCCCAATCAGAGACAACGAGCTACAGCTGTCTCTGATTGGGAACCACCCTGGCCAACATAGATCAACACGATCTAGAACAAAAACATAGAAAACTAAACATAGAAAATCCACACCCTGGCTCAACATTTAAGAGTCCCCAGAGCCAGGGCGTGACACCAATGTGCAGTGTATGAATAGATTGATTGTAAACAACAAAAAAAAGACCCCAAAAAAGCTGTAACTATGGTTCTCCTTTGTTTAATTGTGATCTTATGCCTTCCTGTCCATCTGCTGTTTTTTTGCTTACTTGTTTGCCTGTTGTTTTTAAACCACTTCAACCGAATAGCCCAGCAATGCAACAGTTAAGATTTTCGGAATACGAATGTTCACCATGCCATTGAATATCATGTTAGAGTTATTTTTACTGCAGTCTGTCTATAATCTCCAGTGAAGTGAAAACGTTCCATTACCAGAAGCATATGGTGAGGAGGACCAAACAGTAACCTATTGACATACAGTGAGCTTCAAAAGTATTGGGACAGTGAATATTTTGTTGTTATTTTGTCTCTGTACTCCAGCACTTTGGATTTGAAATGATACACTGACTATGAGGTTAAAGTACAGACTGTCAGCTTCAATTAGTTATTTTTTATCCATATCAGGTCAACCATTTAGAAATTACATATTTTTTACATAGTCCCCCCATTTTAGGGGACCAAAAGTATTCGGACAAATTCACTTATATGTGTATTAAAGTAGTCAAAAAGTTAAGTATTTGGTCCCATATTCATAGCATGCAATGACTACATCAAGCTTATGACCACAAATTTGTTGGATGCATTTGCCGTTCGTTTTGGTTGTGTTTCAGATTATTTTGTGCCCAATAGAAATTAATGGTAAATAATGTATTGTGTCATTTGAGTCACTTTTATTGTAAATAAGAATATGTTTCTAAACACGTCTACATTAATGTGGATGCTACTACCATGATTATGGATAATCCTGAATGAATCGTGAACAATGATGAGTGAGAAAGTTAGAGGCATAAATATCATACCCCCAAGACATGTTAACCTCCCATTATTGTAATGGTGAGAGGTTAACATGTCTCGGGGGTATGACGTGACTCGTTTAAGGAAACTAGGCGTATGTCACGCGTCACTACTTAACAGGAAAGGCATTTGAAAGTAAACATTTTTTTTATCAAAATGTGTTTTTTTTGCAGAAATGCCTTCTGAAACATATGAACTTTCATGTGCCTTAATAACAAAATTGTATGCCATCTGTAAATACAAATAAATAAAATTACGAGCCTAGATGGTTTAGCCACGGAAAAAGACAGGAACCTTCCCGCTAGCCATGATTTGCTGAGAGAATGGATGGGCTGGACATGCCGAGAGATGAGTTTGGATTGGTCTGCCGTGTAGCACGCTTCTGTCTATAACATGAGCTGCTCAGTATGTGTAGGTAAACCTTCTAAACATTTTAAAAGATAACGCGAAGAACTGCAAAAGTGTTGCTAATGCTCTCCACTTTCTGGAGGACAGAGTTTTGAAATCAGTGGAATGCCCGGTGGAAGCAGAGTATGATAGCTAAGGAGATGGAGAAAATTCAGGCATTTGATTGCAACTATGCGGAGGGAGTCGGAAAGAGAACACGAAGGCTGTTGTATAAAACACACCTGTCTCCGGATTACATCTTCAAACTAAGGGCTACAATGGCATCTGACAGAGAGGGAGAAGCGTTCATCCATGTACACAGGTAAGAGAGTCTAGCTAGCTACATTTTCAGATATTATACGTTTCTAATTTAGTCATAAAGTCATTTTCATTGCAAGTTAAAGCGTACTGTTAGCTAGCTAGCTAACATTAGCGGTCTGGCTGGCTGGCTCGCTAGCTACCATTATGTGTATGATCTGTAGTAATATTATTCGTATCTCAGAGCCATTTGCATTGCTAGTTATAGCCTAATGTGAGCTAGCTAGCTAACATTGAACGTAGTTGGTAAGCTTTAGCTACCTATAGATTCATGTTGGGTAGTAACATGAGTTGGGATTATGGTTAATTGTTTAGCTAGCTAGATGTCTAAACAAAAAGACTCCACTATTCAAGTAACCATTTCACTGTACCGTTTACACCTTTGTATCCTGTGCAAGTGACAAATACACTTAGATTTTATTTGATATAGTGTGCGTTTACCAGAGACGGTAATGTGAAGAACAACCGGACCTGCACCAAAGTCAAATTAGGATATAAAGTTTGGCAAACAAGACAGTGTCCAAGTTCTAAAATGCCCTGCTTTTATTTGGTCACACTCACAACCGTAAGTTATTTTCTGTAATTAGCTCGCCATTAACTTGTAAATAATGAGCTTGTTGTGAGTTTATTTTCCTGTAATAATTAATACAAATTAGCTAAAGTTAAGATGTTGTCAGCTATATGATATGGTCATTATTTGAACTGGCTAGCCAGCTAACTTAACATTAGTTAGCTAACAAGCTAGAAACAAACCAAAACAGAGAAGTTGTTTAGAAAGTTGCCTGGTTTGCTAGATTGAAAGTTGATCAACTTTCAAAGCAGAATTACTTTCCCATTGTTCCTCAACTGTAGTGTATGATATACAATTTTCTATCTTTGAGTCTCTACTTTTATCCAATGTAAAAAACACAAATTTCAAATTTTGCTACATAAGACCGAATCGAGCCGATCGGTCACATATTTGTGGGTCTGTAATTTTCAACTTAATCATGGTAGCATCCACATTAATCTAGAAGTGTTTAGAAACAATCTATTCTTATTGACAATAAAAGTGACTCCAAAATGACACAATACATTATATACAAACCATTCATTTATATTGGGCACAAAATAATATGAAACAACTAAAACAGCAAATGCATCCAACAAGTTTGTAAAGTCACAAGCTTAATGCATTTTTATATTTTTTTAAACCTTCATTTAAAAACAGGGAGTCACCATTGAAACCAGGGTCTCTTTAGCAAGGGAGCCCTGCACATACAATTCATAGACAAATCAAATCAAAAATCAGATTAACAAAACTAAAATACAGCACAACAAACAATCAGGAAAAACAGCCACATTCCTTAGCAAATAGTTCCCCAATCAATATTTTAAATTGCCCAAGCGGCATCAGAGCATCCAATTGCAGTGTATTTTGCAGTTGGTTCCAGCAATGAGATGCATTAAAACTAAAAGCGGATTTACCTAATTCGGTGGAGACCCGAGGAACCTCAAGAGTTAACCAACCCAGTGAGCGGGTTTTGTATCTAATGTTTTTTTAAATATACTTTAACAACGAAGTTAGGTTAGTTGGAAGCTTGTGTTGTAGGGCTTTGTAAACAAAAAGGGAATAAGGAAGTGCTCTACGGGACTTTAGTGAGGACCAGCTAACCTCATTGCGTGCTAGGAATATGGGACCAAATACTACACTTTTGACAACTTTAATACACAAATAAGTGAATTTGTCCCAATACTTTTGGTCCCCTAAAATGGGGGGACAATGTACAAAAAGTGTTATAATTTCTAAACGGTTAACCCGATATTTAATGAAAATACACTCAAATTAAACCTCACAGTCATTGTATATTTTCACTTTTGGAGCTCACTGTACATGCTGGCTTCTACACTATAGTAGTTACATCTGAGACGTGTATAAATCCAAGCTTTTAACTGTAAGCAGATGTGTTTTTTTTATCAACTCATTTTATGCACATCAGAAACACTCACCAACATGCCATGAACCTGAGGAAAACACCCAAACAACAATCCCACCACGGTAGCTGTCCCAGCTAAAACCCACAGGTTACACACGAATAGGGCCCTATAAAATTAGTTTTATTCTTTGCCTGATTCCGTTTAGTTTTTTCAAAAATGTGGTTTAGTTTTTCCAGGTTTCCTTTTTTCTACTTGTTGTTGTTGTATTTGTAATCAAAATCACATTTTTTTTAAATGGATGTTGTAAGTCCACAACAATGTTTAAACCACACCAGGAGACAATTTTTTA